AACACGTCCATGGCGTCCGTGGCCCTTGTGCAGTTTTCAGGGACCCCAACCTGTGAAGCAGACAACCACGCGCGGGGTAAAGCAGTTGAACAGCAGTTGCTGAAAATGTTCCTGCCGTTGCGATAAACCATAGTCTAAGAGCGTCTGCCGCGTGTTGCTGCTGACATCATGTGCAGGCGAGGCGGCAGCTAGGAACAACAGGGTCCAAGCCAATGCTAGGGCAGACTCTAATCCACCAACATTGATGACAACTTCCCCGCCGAGAGCAGCACCAGCCCTGGGCTGCATGCCCGAACATCACTTCCTCCAGGGAGACCGCGCAATGCACTGGCTGTACCTCGCATGACGCCGCCATCAGAGCGTAAAAAAAGATGTAAAATCCAACCCAGCTTGCTGCCTTGACGCCTTGCTCGGCATCCCAAACCACAGCCATGGCTTCTGCCCGTTACGCGAGTGCTGTGCCACGAACAGTGCTTGTGCACCCCCTGCGGGTCAGGGGCTGCAGTCGTGTATGCATAGATGGTTGCCTACCAGGCGAGAAGAAAACCTGACAGTCCCGTTTGGCGGATGTTCTCTTTGTTGACCCGAAGTCTTGACGATTGACGACACACTTATCTGCTGGGCATCGACCATGACGATTCAAAGTGCAGTTTTCGGGAGACATCCGGTGAGGAACGATGCAGGACTACAGCAGTAGTTCGCGGGAAAAACAAGAACCATCGCAAAGCGAGCTCCGGCCTGTTCCGGCAAGTTCCGGGCCACATGCCAGTCTTCCTGTGAGCCTCCTCTTATATATATGAGGAGCGGGGTGGGTCATTCCTACAAAGAATGGGCGATAGACTGCTGTTCAGATAGAGTGTAATTATAACACGTAGTCTACAGCAGTTGTTACCGTTTTGGTGCGAATCTATTTGATTTCTCTATAACTGTAGTCTACCACGGTTTGTGACGGGCGACACGCAAATTACAGCAGTACAAAATTCTTCCTGTGTTTATGGACAGGGCAGGATCGGGTCGGCGGCATTTTGAAAAAGGTTTGTACGTCTAGTAAAACTACTGGTCTCTGATACTGCTGTTGTTGTGCCTTCAGTACAGAAACAGCATAGTACAATGGCCACCTCCATCTCGTACAGTCCGCAACATGTCTCGCTACACGTTCTGCCATCGCAGTCGTGTCCTTCAACGTTTTTTCCCCCTGTGTCAACCCCACCGTGCGGTTGACACTTTGTTCGTTCTGGCTCCTGTGCTCCCGTTTAGCCGATCGTACATAGTTGGCTGACCTTCTCTTCCTCCTTCCGCCAGGCGACCATGACCCTCCCCGCCCCCCGTGCTGTAGCACCTCCGCTTACCAAGGCACCCCCTCCTCTGCTGCAAGACTCCAGATGGCACGAGGAATCCCGTCCTCCTGTCGTCGTCCGTGGATTGTTCGGCTGTGTGTGGCGCCGAATTCTTGGGAATCGGCCCTCCGGGCACACACCCCTCCTCCCCCACGAGTTTCCCACACATCATTTGCTTCGGGAGCCGCCCGTCCGGTTGTCTGACCACGGTTCTTGCGAATGGCAGTCGCCGTAGCCGGACGGTGGCCTCCTAACCGTGGCATCCACCCTTAGGCGCAGCTAGCTGCCGATATTTGCCGCGCGTGTGTGCGGTACCCTACAAATTTATGTCGTAAATTACATGTCAGGTTGTATATCCTCCTCAGGTCGCGCCGCGGGGGCCGTGTATAGCACCCGCTTCAGAGGTCCGACCCTTAGTTCTGCACGATGTGTTTTGTCTGTCCAAGAGGCTCCGGGAATACGTGCGGATGTACGCCCGCGCAGCTCTGCTTCGGTGGTTAATATCCTGCGCGAGCTTTCCGCCTTTTCTGAACCGGCCACCCTGGTATCGGAGCTTTCCCGCTGCTTCAATCACCAGAGAGGTGCCTATGGTGGTAATAGTGGCTGACGCGCCCCGCTCGTCGGCTCCTTCACCGACACCCGATTCGGAGAGCCTCTGTGTTCTTCGCCGACAAACCAAGGCTCCAACAACGTTCACGATGATGTCCGTCGTCCTCGCCAGCTATTCGGATGATCTCGGTACTCGATGGGTGGTAGCCAGCGTCGTCGGCGTAGGATATTCCCCAAACCATCCTACGTAATTGTGCCAGCAGGGTCCCTGCCCTCACGCTCACGCCAGCCTCCTCCTTGAGGTATACCAGGCTCCTCCTTGAGGTATACCAGGCTCCTCCTTGAGGTGTACCAGGCTCCTCCTTGAGGTATACCAGGCTCCTCCTTGAGGTGCACCAGGCTCCTCCATGAGGTATACCAGGTTCTTGAGGTATACCAGGCTCCTCCTTGGGGTATACGAGGCTCTTGAGGACGGCGTCTCTTGCGCTACCCTGAATGAACTGAATCGCGCAAGGATAATCTTGATGGCCGCTGCGAAGACGGTGTTGAACAGTAGATCAGCACACATCAAACCCTTGTCGCAGTTCCTGTGTGGCCTCAAACCGGCCACGGAGCTCCCCGCCACCCATCCATGCGCACCCGGACTTGCGTGCCGTCGTGGAGTTGGCGGAGAATTGTGGCAACGCTGTTACACGCTGTGTGTGGTTTGTCCGTGACGGATTGTCATGGTGCATCATGCTGTGCCTTCGCGCAGTGGCAGGCAACAGCAACTAAGCTCATCTTCGATTTGACAGAAAAATAGTGCGTTTCACGGAGGGAGGTTGGTCTTTGGGACAATTTTAGGGTGGTCCGGGCGCAAGCACACACATGGAGGAAGATATGCAAACGGGGATATGGTGGACAATGCGTGCTTTGTTATGTGGTACTCGTTGGGTAACTGCGCTCATGCTGGTGGAACCTCTGTAACCACAAGTTGAGGCAATATCGTCGACGGAAACGATACAAGTACATGCATCGAGTGTGTGCAGCTGCAACTGTACATGAGGAAGAAATCATTGCCGTTTCGACCCAAAAAAAATGCTTGCGCTAATCGCTCTTCACCGTGGCGAGAACTCCGGATCTTTTCACACTACACCCTCTTCCTGCCGACGGGCATTTTCCTTGCAGAAAAAACATTTTACGATGAAACCCTGGGACCGCTACTCACTTTCTTCTTTAACCAACATACAGCTCCAGGACTGGTGTTGAAGCCATAGAGGATTTTAACGTTTGAACCAAACCATGGTGCAATCTACGAAGGCGTCAAGCGCGTGTCCATCAAATGCCCCCTGACCCTCCGTCGCATCATCTCCCGAGCTGAACCTCCGCCTGATACCCCTACATCATGTGGCCACCTCAAATGCCTCGGGAACGAAAACCCGGGGTGAGAGGATCATCGACGCACGAACAACCAAGTTAACCAGGGCCAGTGCTGCTGACGCCTATCAAACGCATGATTGACAAATGGAAACATATCGTTGTAGATCCGTTTGGTATGTCATTGTACTGAACATGAAACCTTTGTGCAGCGTCGGACTCTCGAGACACGATGAAGCATGTCAAGATGTGGAAAAACATGTTCAGGACAAAATCAATTCCAGCCAGATCGAATCAAGCAGCCGATACAACCCGAATCAATCTTGAGCACGGTATCATCGCGAAACCAGGACATCAGCCGTTCGAACCGTCCACCCTCTCGCTCTCCTCTTCACTCCCGTTGGACAACGATTATCTACCGTGCCGAATCAGAGAATCTGCAGACCAGTAGTCTCCCTCTCTCATCCACAAGGTGGATCGACACCTCGTCGCCCTCGACAAAGTTACCAACTTTGTCGGCAAACAGTCGGACGCTGTCGTTCGACACGTGCGACAGCAGGTCGGCGTCATGGGGCGACGGGTGCGTTGCCTCGTAATTGATGTCGGTGGAGAGGCGGGGCTACCTCTTTTCCCACGCCGGCGGCACGCTATGAGTGCACGAGCTTGGTTGTCGGTTTGCTGAAGGCCAAAAGCCCGCAAGTACATGCCGCGCGTTGTGAGTGTGTTGTAGTGTGTATGTCGCTATTTAACAAAGTCTTGCAGGCGAGAAGCGACGTAGTGTACAAATTAATTTATAGCCGACTGTTGGTGGTTCTATCACACAAGATCGCTTTTTCTCCAAAGCTACTTCTCTACAGTCCAAGAGCAGACAACCCTCAAAACCCGCGTTCAGACCAGGCAATCAACAATCATCGCAAGGGCTCTGTGGCCGCCGCAAGAAGAAAACAGGAAGGAATGGCTGGCCATCTACATTTTCAGCTCTGGAGAAAAGCACAACCCACGTTGGGCACACACGAGTAAAAAGAAGAACACACGAAGAAGCTAAACGCACGTAGCGATGTCCTGCCTAAGGCCTTGAAAACAATCTTGGCACGTCTACGCACGCACACAACACAACAGACACACAAGGAGGCTTCACAGCTGAACTTCTGCAATCCAGAACACGCTATTGTGCAACACGTCGCGTTTCTAGATCATTCATCGCTCGTGAGCAGAATCAGATGCATGTTTAGCCATTCGTTTGGCGTTTGCTACCGATACAGAACCCATGGTGTCTGTCCCTCTTCACGACGATAAAAACTGTTGCGTGTTGATCTCACAATTGATCTGCACCTCGCAAAAGTGCTTAGCCCCAGGTGCCGGGGAGACTGCATGCACGCCTCTTTCGACCATACGCTAGAAACCCCCTTCGTCACAAGCTTCCGCACTGTACAAACTAGTCGATATTCGGGCAGAGTATTTTCATGTTGAAATTTTGGGCTAAGCGGCTCGCCATGACAGCGGTTTCCTTTATACTGCCCTGAGAACCATCGAACACTCAAAAAAGTCTCACACAATTAACATTCACGAACTGCGTGTGTCCAACCGCTTTCTTTCACAGCACACGCTGCGATAAGACAGCCCACAAGGAAGGGAGGTTTCAACCCCGTACACTCCGATGAGACGAAGACCTACTATTACTCCTTCGTGAAGAGCAGTGGACACTTCAAGAACAGCTGTTTGAGTACGATCGCAGCCGATTGATATCCTATGCTTGCCCTAGTCAGAACGGAACAAGAACTGGAAGGAGTACGCGCCCACGCCTTGAAGGAACGCACCGGTGGTTACCCCTAGCCACACCACGCTGAAAGGGTCGTCGAAGCTAGCGATAAGCGACATAACCCACGCCAGGAGGATGTAGTGGTAGTTCCAATTGTCCCCCCTTCGGTGGGCGAACGCTGCGTAGAGTGCGACGAACGCCGCTACGAGGACCGCGGTGGCCATGTACTGGGCGAATCGGTTTCCGGACCGTACTGGAGCGGTTGCATCCTCGGGAGCGGCTACTCCCCCGGAGATCATAACTGCCCCCGGAAGAGTCTTCCAGGCGACGAAGAAATGGTAGACGAACGCCAAGCCGACGGCGATTACGAGAAGCGTGGAGACTACGTTGACCGCGGTGGTCATGCCGTCTTCGGACTCGTGGGTGTCCACGAAACCGTCGTTCTTCATCAGGGCGGAGGTGGTGATTCCGCTGTGGGACGCGTGCGGATGGGCGGGGGGAGTGGGGAACGGAGAACCACACGTGCTTGGAATTAGTGCCGTTACATGCCGCTTTCCACATTCCACGCCAAATCCGTCGTTTCATTCCGAAACGATACCTCACTCCATGATATTGGGAAAGAGCGCGGTAGGTTAGGGTTGGCTGGATGGAAGAGTCTTTCAGGAAGTTACGACTCCTGCTACGCGATGTATCTTCCTGTCCGCTGAAGATGAAGATTGACACACATGCGCATGTACATGTTCACCACAGCACTATTGTGTCATGTGTTTAATTGGCGGTTGGCCTAGAAGGAGGTGCTGGGCGCTGGGTGAGTTTTCTCTTCCTCGTTTTTCCTGACGGGGGTCGTCGCCATGACAGTGCAGAAATAGTCCCGTCAACCGTGTGCCTCGGGACTTGTCTTTTTCCAAAATCCCTGAAATATGTATACTCCAGAACATAAATATTCAACAAACTAAACGTATTAATTCTTGCCGTTTCACAATACAAGAAGGTCATGAGTTGTTGGTTGAGACTCACCTCCCAACTACGACCACAGGAAGGTACCACTGCTTGGAAAGGCTATGGAACCTTTCTGAGTCCAGAATGTCGCACAAGAACGCCTGCATGCAAGTGTTTGCAAGCGGGAGGAGTGCGGCGGCGGAAAGTCACGCGCGCGTTCAATGTCGAGTGTGCTATTCGTATCTGCCTTGAATGTTCGCACGCGCGCTCAAGTAGCAATCGGGGCCAAGGCAGCAGGATATTTCATCGGTCACATACAGTAGTCACATTACAATGTGCATCTCATCCAACACGCAAGAGATGAGTTTCAATACAGCATCGCTTTGAACGATATCATTTGCACCTTCTGTTAGAGTTGTTAGCGTGACCCTCTACTCCCTGCACTGCACCACACTACACTATCGGTGGTTTGACCCACCTGGAGCGCCTCACGATCACCCTAGCAATGAAACGCCATCACTTGATCAGAACCATGCTATGAAAATGTTCCCCAAATTTCTTAAGTGTTCCTTAGAAACACACGCGATTCCAGTCTTGGGGCGGGCGAAGTCCCGGGAAAAGGGCCACTGCAGTTGTTCTGGAATAAGTACCTGTAAGCACCACATGTGTCAACCTCGACCGGACTGAATGTGACATACGGTTGCAGTGGACGTACAGCAGTACACAGGCCCGACAGAGGTACAGCGAATGAATGAAGTCACACAATCACAAATCGGTTTATTCCCCTAACCATAACACGGCAGTAGCTCATGGCGGCCAGAGGCGAGCATGAAGAGCATCGCTTGAGGGTATTTTGCAGAATTGCCCTTGGATGCAGCCCAGAGTTCGGCCGGTCATAGAACAATTCAACCCGGAGCTGTTGTACTTGAAGTATGATGGACTCGTACACCAAGGATGACGTCTACTGCTGTTGTTGTAAAAATTAATGACGAAACACATGCCAATAATCTGCGACCTACACTGTACTTTCCGTGTTTACTCTGTAGGGTACTGTAGATAGCACTCGCCTGGCCCAGAGCAAAGGCCAGCAGGAAAGGCAGCTCCGTCAGGACATCCAAAGGCTCATACGCCCGGCGACAGTTTCCGGGAAGCTCAAGCTCACAGGAGACCTGCAATAAATAGTACCAGGGCGTGCACACGTACGTGGAACGCACCACATCCTTCGGATCACCAATTCACTGCTTGGGGATTTCGAGCCGGACGAGAAACTATTCACTGACTCACACTTTCGGACTGGCACACGACGCGTAGGTGATAGCCGCAGCTGTATGCCTTCGTGGGAGCTGACCTGCATTAGGAGCCAGCACAGAACATAAAAGGAGAACCACACTGCAGCCTTGACTCCTCGCTCGGCATCCCAGGACGTACCCATGTTGCTTGTGCGTTCTGTGGTTCAGGGCGTGTTGCTGGTGAAGACTACACCTTGTCGGTCTCGATCTTCTACGCACAGCCCAGCAGTGAAAGTGAAGAGGTGGACTGAACTCCTGTTGTGTTTGCAGCCGCCACCGCCGATGAGCGGGAGCGTTGAGTGCTGTGTACATACCGCCCCCCCCCTGTTGTAGAACAGGATGGTGGTCGCGCGGATTTTCATGGAACTCGCTCGTCGAGGAAACACTGCCTGGCGGGGGAGAGAGAGAATTTGACAGTCCCGTGAGCAACCCCGTAGACGACAGCGCACAATCGCAAGCCGCCGAAAATAAGGCTTGGCAAATGAGGTTAGGATGCTCTCAGGTGAGGGTACGGAACCGCATTACGTGCAGCTCGCAACGCTCGGTGATTCATGCATGCTGGGTGGACTTGCATGGCGCAGTCTCTCCCTCGACTTGTTTGGCGGCAAAACTTCGAAAAACGAACGAATTCTGCGCAAAGGTGCAAAGAAAGGTGAAATTCGAAACGAGAAGTTTCGTTGGAGACCACCTCTTTTTGTGAGGGAATCGGAGTGGTTCCCGGACGGGAACGGGCGCCCGCAGTCGCAGGTGATCAGGTGATTGGAGAATGTTCGGGCAGGTGTGCTCCGCACTATCGCACCAACCGGTCACCTCTTGTCGAAAGTCTGCGAAACTACTGTAAGTACCGTTCGGGTCATCGTATCTTCACCGCGTCAATCCGGTAAACATGTCGAGCTTCTGGCAGTGAAATGCATTAGTAAATGAGCTACATGTAAGTAGACGAGCTGCTAGCCGGCATATACATAGGTTGCGAGGTTGGCGTCGATGAACGAAACCTAGACATAAAGAATAGGGTCATGACATTATCATGTATAGATCATGGTGCACTCATTGCGACCCGGCTACAACACGACCACGACTCGGTGACCATTCACCGATGGCTATGTAGGTCATGACAAGGGTCATGATCCAGCAGACTTGACGGTTGTATCACGAACGAACAGAAGTCGCGCAAAACTACACACAAGAACCTCAGCTGTTGCTGTGCTGATATTCTCATGTGAAACCTTTCCGATCTCAGCTCAGCACCTTGATCGGTACTGGTCCAACGGACGAAGAGAGAGAAAATATGATGTACAGTAATGCGTGTGTCACCTACCTACAAAAACTCATTACACAAGGTTACAAACGTCACATTAGTACGGCAGTCTTGACTGTAGAGGGGATCTGGAAACCCTGGATTTTGCGTAAGATCTCAATCACCCACAGGCACGCGTCCAAACATATTTCCGGTACATCAAATATGCTTTCCATCCGTCCTTGCGATGCCGGGGTATCAACGTCTTGCCGACTGATCCATTCCCGCTTCATTTTCTGTAGTGTTCCGTGTCCCACATGTCGCTACCGGCGCAAGCGGTAGAGAAAAAACGTCTACAACGGGGGGGGGGGGGGGGGGGTACTCATAGTCGTGCATGCCGTAGTCGTTCGACCATTGACCTCGCATCCCTACAAAGCCGGGACGGAGCACGCCGCGTTCTCACCGGACCAGGCTCTCACATCACCAAGTGCGAAGCGCCGTGAGGTATTCGGCGAGTCGCATGAAGGGTGAACTGCATCCTGCTAAGGGTGTTCGGCATCTTGTGCTTTCTTCCTTGCGTACGGATGACAGCTGCGTATGACTTAATTTATTTTCTGGTGCGTTCACTTCCAGAGACAGTTATAAGCACTGTGTAGCTGCCTCGAGGATGCTTGACCATTTTAACACAACGTCGTGCGATCATCCCCCTTGCGCGGAGTGAGGGTTCTCCACCCTGCACAACATGATCTACTCGCCCACCATTACTGTTCCCGCCAAAAAAAAAAACAGAGGTAAAAAAAACGGTAACATGGTTGCCGAGTTCACGAAGTGAATTGGCTTCTTTTACAACGTCGTTGCCAAGCGACGAAAACCCAATCCCGATGGCAAACACCGAGGGGATCGGGGCGGCAACGGGGGGGGGGGTTTCTCAATGTCGACAAAGACCTGTAAACCGCGATGGCGATGCTGGTGTGATCTTCTCTGTCAAGGATTTCCCGCGTAGAGAGGCCATGTTCACGACTCCTGGGAAGCCCTTGCGTTCAGCAGCTCTTGCCGTTCCCTCACTTGCTTGCGAAAGAGCGGCTTGTCTTCTTCGGAGAGATGCGGGAGCGCCGGCAGCTCGAACGGAGTTGACGAGTGCTCCTGCAGCCACCTCATTAGCGGCCCTACCTTGCCCACGCCAGAGAAGAACCTGTGTTCGTTGGGCACACGCGGAGAGGAGAGGGGGAGAGGTGGGGTGATGCCCGGAGACCGGCCAGGAAGAACCCTCTCCGGGGGGCTACAAATACAATAATAGCATGGCCAAAGAACGCCCGAACTAGGCGTGGGTGAAGAACCGCTGGAAAAACTGCAGACAGTCTCAAAGGGGGCTACAAGTCTGTCCATCACCACGGAGTCAGGCAACGCACACCATTGGTCGCATAGCGCGCCCGACAACGTTAGCCGACTAGCCTGAGGCCATGGCGTACAGAATGTCAGCACGGAGGGTCCGTATCGCGCATCGGGCTGGCTGTTTCCCGTCCTACCTGAAAGGTGCCTCCTTGTCGTCGCCCGGGAGAAGAACGATAGCCGGAAGGGTCGGCAACGTCATGGCTACTTCCGGGGGCGGCGTTTCGAGAGTCACGTCCATCGCCGCTATGAGGACCGAAGGTATGTCCAGGTCCAGAAATCGTTCGCCCACGCGCTGGATGACAAGTAGCAGCAAGTAGTTTGGCCGGGAGCAGACTTTTCTAGGAATTTTTTTTTGTATCGACACCCCGCCAGCTCCTGTCCGAGACTTATGCACACAGCCTGACCTTTCCCATCGTCTATTTCTATCAGCAAGAGGTAGGTTCAGGCTCCTGGGTGGTGGATACAACTAGTAGTGGAGGCGGTCGCGTCATCGATGCAATAGTGGTTCTTCAGAGAGAATGGTAAAAACGCGTGACATGAGACTCGCCTTGTAGTATGGCACCATGTTGCTGCATCTCTCACATTCCTGGAAAGCAAAGGGTTGAAAAATGGGTTGGATGAGGCGTTCTCCGGGGCCAATACGATTCATTATGAGTAACTGTTCTAACGACGGATTTCTCTGCAACGGTTTTTCCTGCATTCATCGTCTCTGTGGAAGAAGGGGACGATTGCAATGCTCTAAAGTTCATGTCATTTTTTCGACAGACAGGTGCGAAGTACAGGAGAGGCATTTAGTCCTACCTCCGCGTGAAACATGAGCAAGACATCCTTGTCGTTGTCGAGTACCGTCCGAGCGAAACTTTCCCTTGTAACCTGGTCAACAGATTTTTAAGAAGAACAGACACCAACGTTGTATGTTAGTGACGAAACAGACAAGCTAGCCGAAGTTTTTGTAGAGTGAAGAGTCTCAGGTGAAGCTGGCAGCACTCGACATCTGCTGCCGAAAAATGCTTCGCCTGTAACCCGATACCTCCTCTCACTCGGCAAATAGGCTCGGTCGTTGGCTCAATCGCAAAAGCTCGTCCGTCACCGGCTTGCCTGCGTTATCGCATCCTTCGGCTTCAGTTGTTCCGAAACCCCTCGAACCTCGGTCGGCGTTTCACGCCTGTCCTTTCGGCGCACGGTGTTGTGCGCGCTGAACGGCCGAGACACAACCATGGCCTTTCTTGCGTCGAGAGCCGACTGCAGTCGGCCGCTCAAGAACGCGGCCGCGAAGTGGAGCAGCGTCTCGCGGTTGATGGGGAGGTCCTCGGGGAAAGGAAGCTGCCTGCCGTCCATGGTGTTGAAACCCACTTGCGGGAGGCGCTCTCGGCTGCCTGCGGCACGATAAGCACACACACGGGGCGAAAACATATTTTTGCTGACGACCTCTCCAGCGAGTGCGCCGCACAAAGCAACCATCATAATGTGAGCTTCTACATGCCCCGCCACGCTCTCACCAAATAGACCCAGCGTCTTCATGCTGTCGGCGAGAGCTACTCCATCGGCGTACAGACAAGTGATGCTTCCTTTCTGAGAGCAGATTCACGTCGAAGGAAAATGTGTCAACTGAGGCAGTGTAAGGAGGCAAAAGATCGCGTCGAATCATAGTTTCCCAGACAGTCAAGCGAGGATAGCACGAAATCAGAAGAAGGCCTCTGACACTAAATTTATTCGGGTCGTAGTGTTTCTATTTTTCTTACGTGCTCGAGTGCGACTTCCTTGAGCTCTTTCACGAGTTCGTCATTCCGCACCCCGCCGGATTTTCCACCAATCCGAGACCCATGAGCAGACCCGGCAGCGAAAGAGTCTGTCGCCACAATAAGAGTCAAACGTCGAGACACAAAGGCTGAGGAAAGGAAAGGCATTGCACGAGCTCTATTTTCTCGAGGACGCAAGGACGAGAAAAATTGTTGTGCTGGTTTGTATGATGAGTTGACGTAAGCCCTCGTGATGTCACGGGGTCGCAAGTCTTGTGAATAGAAACTCCTACAAGGGGAGGCTCGCGAACGCGTGGGGGGTGTTTCTGGGTTGAAACCCGTCCTTTTGGAGAAGAAAGCTGATGCTGCCAGGCATGCGACAACGTCAGTCTGTACCAGCACGAAGTTAGCTTTGCTGCTGCGGGTCCTCAATCTGGTCAAAACTTCTCGGACCACCGGTGAAAGTCTTTCAAGTTTGTCACGATGGATCGATTCGGTTCAGAAAGTGCAAGCAGGGGGGGGGGGGGGGGGGGCTTCGTGGTAGTATGGTCATCATGTGGGTATTTGTGACCCTCTGGGGAACTCAGGTCGTTTTCAGGAACGCTTCTGCTCGTGGAATCGCAAGAAGAGACTTACAATACTTGCAACACAACCGCTGCTGAAGCCCTTCCGATCGCGGGGCAAAACAATACGAGCTTATGCTCCGACGGGCGAAGGCCCCAGAAAATAGTAGCTATATAGACCCTGCACCGCTTACCAGGAAGTTCGAGAAACATGATAAGCATCGGCAGATGCGTCCGCTCGTACTGCGCGAAGTTAGCGTTCGACAAGCGACCCACCAAAGGAAGGCTCTCCTGCAGGTAGCCAAAGACGAGTTTCATGAGTCGCACAAGGGGCCTGTTCATGCGTCTGGTCGGCCTTATTTCACCTTGAAGTTATCCTGACAAACTACCAGGCGTAGATACTTCTCTGCGGGCGAAGTATTGTGTTCTCGAACCCCTATGACGCCGCCCAACCCCATTCTCTGTGCGAACAACACGAAGCCCGACCTCATCCGTGATCTTACCCTGACCACCCAATCTTGAAATGAAAGATTGTCCTCCAAGATCGCCCATAAGGTCAGGCTTGGGGCCCGCGACAGTCCTGGCCTGAAAGGTCAAGAAGTTCATGTCAAAAGGTTTCAGCGAGGACCGAAACATTTTACAGTAGTTGTCGTTGACATCGTCACATCAATAATGCTCGTGCTTCAAAATTTCAGACAATCTTCTTCGAGGCTATAAACAGCAGAACGATGAATTTCGGCTCGTGCCTGTTATGGGCACTGAGGGTGCCGTGAGTGCCGTGGCATGCCACCCTCCGGAAAAGTGCCCGCGATGTCTGTTCGTGAGGCACTGTTGAATCGTGCAGTAGTAGTGCATCCACATCTCACACGTGTATCTCGCCTAGTCAGAACCGCCTCAGATGCCCTCTGTATCCATCCAAGCTTCTTGAAGTGCCCGCAAACCTCTTCGTCGTCCACGAAACCAAAGTACACGTCAGACCTGGGCTTCAAGTCGGTTGCTGCTTCCATGAAGTCCTCCAATTCATCTTCCTCCATTTCACCGGCACCCGAGAAGAACCCCACAACCTTGGGCCGATTCGGCGAGCCCCCCAGGTTTCGCACAGAGGTTGAAAGGATGTAGGGATCGTCAGATCGAGGTGCCTCCCGTCAAGGCGGTGTGCAATTCCGGCCGCATTGTTCTGTAGCCGCTTAGGGCGGGCTGTAACATGAGGCTCGGCAACAGGAATGAAGGTGGGTAGACTAAACCAGCATTGACATCGTCCAAACAATACCTACAGGAAAGGAAGGCTGACACAACCCTAACCTGATCTACAACAAGTGTGGGCTGAACTTCTTCCGACCAACTTCAGCGAAGAACTGGAGCAGACTTTCCAGGAATCGCCGGTTACCCCCCTTAGACTATTATTTCTTGACGACCTATCGCTTGGCCCGACACCGTACATCCATATGCAGATGCCATCGTTTCCTGTGCTGAAATGCTTGAGGTGCAACTGCAATCACGTCATGACCCCTCCTTGCTCGCTCGATGTGCTCCACCCAACGATTTTGAAGTACCGACACTTGCTTCAGCATCAGACTAAGTCTTTAGGGAGACAAGCCGAAAGCTCGGGTCTACTCTCGATTTCAGTGTTTGGCTTCGCTACGCGCAGTGTATGTCCCTTCTGCGGCTCATTTCCAGCAAACGAAAGCGGCTTACCGTCACTGCTTCCGAGGGAGCCGTACCCAAGGCCCCAAACTGAGGGTCTTTTATAAAGTTTTCCACGGCCGTGATGGTTGTAAGCCTTTTTGCGGGCGGTTCCAGTTGCTTGCGGACATATTCAACAATAGAATGCCGCTCGTGCGCGCCGTCGTACAGCAAAGCCTTCCTGGACTTGCGTGTTTCCGTCCATAAAAGGATGGCAGGGAGATGCTGTGCAGCTGCTTCAACTCCTCCCAAGATACGACCAAGGAGGGCACGCTCGGCGTCAGCATCAATTCGCCCAATAATCACCTGGGCAAAATTGTTCGTTTCATGCAAGCATGTAAACAGGACGAAAACAACAACACACATGACATGTCGTGGGTCACAGGTGCAATAGAAGCGTAAGAGCGCATTCAAAGCGTGGTAGGCAGAAAAGATCCACACAGACGGCCTGCTGAAAGTACCAGATGCATGCGTCGACTACGCACGACCGAAACGCACCCCTTTCTCCTTTAACTCAACGCTCGCGGACTGGTACTCCGTCTCGAGATGAATGCAGCGATGGCACGACGGTGATGTCGCAACCACAAGAAGACGCCCCGCATTGTGCAGTGTCTCGCGGAAATTCGAAGACGTCAGATTGACATCGCCAACGCTAAGAATCGGCAGGACGGTGTCACCGCCATCAAGATAACCTGCACAGGATTCGAAAGCGGGAGGCTACCTTTCAGTTTCGGCTCGAGAGTCAGGACCACTGGTTGCCACAGGTGTAGGTATAGTGTACCGATCACGATCTGCCAAGGGTTGGGTGCAGGGGTTGCGAAACCGGGATTGACCTTGAACACATATTGTGTGTGCTTCTGCCAGCCCACCGTATCAGTTGGAATGCCGACACTTTCCGAGAATACCTGCCCATTGCGGGGCGCAACCTCCCCCCCCAGATTGTAATCGGTGCCCAATCTACAGTGTACCAACAATGTCCCGGCCACCAGTAATATAAAGACAAAGTTTTGTGCTGGCAGGGTAAGACATAGACTAGACTCAACGTTAGTGTCGTGTGGATGAACAGCGCAACTTACAAAAACTGCAATCATCGCCGTCGTAGCCAGCGTCGCACTCGCAGGTGTAGTCGATACACCGCCCACGCCCTGAACAATTGTTGAAGCATACCGACTGCCCAGCATCGTCCGGTCTTAGTAGTGATGCTCCTACCGAAGTGCCACTTGCACTGTATTGATATTCTCGGGTACAACCTGTGCAAGCGGGTGTGGAAGAGCGTATCGCTCTGTATATGTGAGTTAAAACATAGGACAATCGTGATGAGTCGGTTTACGCGCTGTCGACTCACGATGAAACGAAAGATACCGCCAGCAGCGCGTGCAGAGGGTAGGGAGGTCCTAACGCATCTCGAGTTAAACGATATAGCTCAGATCCGCAACTCCCTAAACAAACAAGTTTGGTTGGTACGAGCAGCAGCTGAATCAAGAACTGTTCGTCGCACCGTCGTCACGAGCAAAACGCGCGTCTCGCGATGGTCATGTACTGCTGTACGCATAACCTCCGACATTTAAACACATCAATCGATACAGCTCGGTCGGGGCTCACCGCAGAAGGCGGCACAGGTAAGAAGACGAAGCATAGATAGAGAGCGAGGGGGCGGAATCTGCGCGAGGACTGGGGCACAGACTCACATTGCCGGGATACACAGGATCCGGGACTGTCAAGATTCAAGATCGTAACGACCAGGCCCGGAGACCCCAGACCCTCCGCTTTGTGGGGGGAGGGGGGCTCCGCACTCCGCACCCACGAAACAGGTTGTAGCAACTCGATATGCCAGGGTCGGTCCTGGGATGGAAATTAATGCCATGTGTGTGCAGGTATAACCGTCGTTCGGAGATGTACGACAGGGCTCACGTACTGAGAACATAGAGGAAATATTGAGTATCCGCTGTACTGAGAAAGCGAAAATGACACAGGATGTCACGCACGCACATGATGTGGTGCTGTATCAAGGATCCCTTCCAACAGCCCTTCCACTTTTTGCAGCGGCTGATGCTCGAGTGCAAAGAGAGATGCTTCCAAGTATTGTTATTTTCAGGTTTTAGCATGTACGAAACCCACACGGGACACGAATAAGGCACCCAGGGCCCCCAGTGTCTTCCAGCGAAGCACCCAGTACAGCCGTACCCAACTCCAACTCCCGGTGCCATCTTTGCAGATGTTTCCATTCGTAGAAGCGGTCAAAACGATCAAAGGCTTTCGTGTGGTGCAGGAAGTTTACACTTATAAATAAGGATGTTGGTTTTCCGATGTGGAAAGCTCGCTTGATTCTCGCTTCGTTGCAGGTGTTCAAGATGAAACCAAAGACAAAATTGTCTTCGGAGAAAAAGAACGTGTCTGGAAACAAATGCACCTGCACCTGCATGCAGCAACGTTTAAAATGAAACGTCAACAACGTAGTGAAATGGGTTGGTTCCCACTGGCTGAAGGGGGCAGAGCCACCAACAATTGAGGGGAACAAGTCCAGGAACTTGCCATGTTCAGATATCTTTATAACCGCCGGTCAGCGCTACGCTAATGCTACGGTCACTTTTCATCCATCACGCCAACAGACACCCAACACCCAACACCGCGCGAGAACACTCGCGTCACGAAATCAACAAAAAGCTTCACAGCCTCTCCCGCGTCAAGTCAAACCTATCGGACATACCGTATTAGTCTACCCGAGACCTGCTGCAATCAAAGCCGTAAACAAGTCGCACAAAAGCCTCTCGATCATCATCCAATACCTATCGTATCCCTCTTTCAGCGAAAAAGAAAGCAAGTCAAGTCAAAGACAACCAACGGCGCTCACACCCCAAAGGATTAAAAGCGACCGGAGAAAATGCACCACCACACGCAAGATACGCACTCCACAATCAAACTATTTCGGCAACATCTTTCTAAGCCTAAATAAAGCAATAGCGGGAGATGATGATTACCGGGATACCGGGGTCACAGCTATTGCTGTTGTTCAAGCAAACGTCTACATTCAGAGCGTAGCCACAACTACAACAGGCTAGCCAGCCTACGAACCTCCGGTACCTCGCCTTCTTCGCTGGCCAATTGCAAGGGCGCAAGCGGCCGACACCAAAATACCAGGTACTGGACTTGATCCAAGCCTTGTCTGAGAGCTCTCGCTGTGCCGATGCGGCCACGGGCACCAGCAGCACGATGTTGGGAAACCACGAACGAGATATACGCAACCAGAGGTGAGCAAAGCCGATTGGTTTACCTTGCTCATACGTCCCATCCGATCGATATCTAGGCACTGGCAGCCACACTTTCGGTGCCACACACGACACGCTTGGACCACAAAGAAGGGGGGGATGCATAACATGCAAACATGCAAAGAGGGCTGGGCAGTTCCAATGCCACATACACAGGGGGGGGGG